GCTTGAAGGAACTGGTCCGAAAATTTCGGGAGGACCCTCGTCCGCGGGACAACGACTCGATGGGAGCAAGTTCCTAGGGAATATTCTTGAAAGCGGAGCGTTCGCTGAGAAATGGTGCCGGAACTCGATCGAGGATATCATCGACTCGAACGCTGCGTCAATATTTGATCCTCCGACAGCGACTTCAAGCCTACGAGTAATTGTGGTGAACTGGAGCAGCTTCGAGAGGGTTTCCAGACCCCTCGGGGGGAACGCTGATGAGAATTTCAGAATGACGACTGAGGAAATTTCATACTTGGATCGTCAGTGAGGCTCCTGCCATAACTCCCCTTCCCCCGAGAGCCCCCAGGAATCGTCGCTCGAAAGGGATTCCCCATGTTTTCATGCATACGAGAAGCCTTGAGACGACTTGACAGTGATTCGAGGCGCTCACGACTTGCAACGGGAACTCAAGCGGATAGGAGTTCGGAAGACCTGACTCTTCGCACTCCGCGTTCGGCATCTCCCAGATCTCCTATGCGACCGCCTTAGAGGGGCGATGGGCTCAGATGAACCCGATAGAGCTCCTGGGTACGAACCAGACGACTCAGCTACGAGGAGGGTCGTACATCCGGGACGAAGCTGTCGAACCCCGCGTATAGTTCCCTGGCTGGCTTAAGGGAATGAGTCTGGAGGAGAAGAGCGCGGGAGTCTTCGAGGAACGGAAACTTGAAGAAAAGAAGCCGAACAACCTCGACAAGTTGGACAACGTCACAAGTTTCTCATGACCGCTGAGGGGCGAAATTCCGTTCAGTAAGGACCAGGTTCACCCTGATACCCTCATGGTGTCGTTTCCGAGGTGAACAAGCGACGACGCGTCTAGTTTTCGGAATCCTGCGGCTTTGTGACTTCTTGATGCAATGCGTTCACCTCATTGACGCTGATTCTCACGACGAGTAAATGATTCGAATGAGGCAGCCAGCTGGGATGTTTTGTTTGGATTGAAAAATGATTATACAGATACGATCTTGCTTTCCGAGGAAAATGAGAGACGGCTCGCCAGGTGCCCATCTCCTCCAGGCGGACTTCAGAGGCCGTTTTTCGGGTCACCGAAGATGGAGCCCCTGACCAGAAGTCCGGGTCCAAGATTCGAATTGCCTCTTTAGGTGGGATTTGAGGAAGATTTCGGAAGAGCAAAAGTGGTGTCAACGAATGTGCATCGGGTGGTTTATTTTCCCGTGTTCATCTCCGGTCGTTCAGCGACGGCGGAGCCATCACCAGACGCCCATTTCCCAAGACGTATCTACCCTCAGAAGGAGCTGCGATCGATTATTGTTATGGGAGCCTCTCCCGCGCATCGATAAACTTATCGGCACATCTCTTATACATCAAGTTGCTACCTGAGCACAGCTCTCGGGACGGACATGTGGACCTCGGCGGTGATTCTGGGGAGGAAATCGCTGATTAAGGGAGAAAAAATCATAGCGTCCAAGTGACCTGGCTCTATAGCTCAGAACGAGATGATGGCTCGATCGCGGAATCGAGGAGAAAGATAGGGTGACCGAACTAGGATCTGATCAACGGCGCTCCCGATTAAGGGAAAACCACCAAGCCGCAGAATAAATAGTTCTACTTCCCCGCGCTCCATGAACAGTGTAGGATATTCTATCCATAATTTCGTGTCTTATCACTTATTCACTACCATATGTACCTACCTAGTTCCATTCATGCCGTGATCGCCCAGTCATGCGTTAGATAACTGGGTAGCGTCTGGAGACGATGCCGATGCGATGGTCGTCAGAACGAGGATATATTATATTCATAGACAGTGGTTTATAATAGACGCCGAAGGGAGGCAGCTGACGAAGTGCCCGGGTCGCATTACCTTCTTCGTCTTGAATGGCTCGATGTGATTTCCTCTGTGCTTTCGGGAAACTCGCCACAGGAAGAGGGAGCCCAGACAGCTTACTCTTTGGGTCCATATTCACCGGAGACTAAATCGCCGACTGGAGATTGCTCGATGCCGCAGTTCCGGTCGAATTAGTTGTAGGGCTCTGTTCCATGTCTTTGCTTTTGACTGCGAGGGAATCGAAGGTGTCAGACATATACGATCAGTGCCCACCGACACCGGCGCACAGGGATGGATGGGGAGTCGGGGATTCAACCAATTCCACCTCGAATTGAGAGAGCGACAGATTCGACCGGAAGACCCCGGAGCTCAATCCCTTGATTTTTCCCGATGCGATCCATTTCGAATGTTCATCCGGCTAGGATATTCGGTGATGTGTATCTCGTGAGCCATTTCCCTATGCACCCCTCGTTCCTCCATGCGAGAACTCCGAACGATACTCCTGAAACTCATGGAACGATACATTATCGAAACATCGTACGCAAATTGGAAAAACAAGCAGCGAATCAGCTCCTGAGTCCGCATAGCGGAGCTCTTCCGCTGCCGCATATGCCTCTGGTCCAAGAAGTATCTTGTTCGTGTTCTTCTGAGGAGTCAATTCAAATTCTCAGAAGGTTTATCGAACACAGGCTGTAGCTCGGGGAACTGTATGCTTGGGCTAGACAGCCTTCGCTGAAAACGCATTTGGTCCGAGGATCGCGTGAGAGCTCCGAGCGAACAGAGAATCGGGATGGACTTCCTATCCGATCGCGCCGGGCGGGGAAAAGTGTAGTCAGGCTGATTTGATTCGATTCGGATCGCGGAAGGTGACCGCCGAACATGCGAGGCCATTAATTGGTCGTTAATCTCGCGCGCTCCTCTTCGGTCGACCCTATATCGAGGGAATTGATGAGATCGTCTCACGAGTGCTGGGGTGCTACTATCCGCTAGGTAAGCAGTGATGGAATTTAGGGGGGAACGAAAATGGGCGTCCATGAGAGCCGGTGGTCTGTAGCTCCACGTGAACTTCACAGAATTCCTCATTCCAATGGATCTTCCCACGCCGGTTTCGATTTTTGGAATGAATAGAACGCTCTAGCCGACGGTGAATTTTCGACGATATCTCCGCTTCGCTGATGGGAGCGGGAAGCCCCGACATCCGCAAACAGTAACCGGAAATTCCCACGATTCCGAGAGCCCATGGTCGAGAAATGAGCTCCGCGCCGTCCAAACGCTGGATTGGCTCCGGTCGTCCTGCGGCTCTCGGTCTCGACAACGGAGTCTTTGTTGTACTCACCCTTACCCAATCTCAAGGCTTGAGTGAGACATGAGAATGCTCCAGTCTCAGAGGATTTCCGCTTGGCGGAATGGGGCGGATCCAATTTGCACGACCACTCGACGCTGGGAGGGACTGTTTCCCCAGCTGCTCCCTCGCTTTTAGACAGTCACGTGCCCGCGGTCGTCAACAGACTAACGTCAGTCGGCTAGTCGGCCGGCTCCTCGGTGGCTCCTCTCGCTCAGATTGATCCGACATCGGCGATGTTAGCCGTTGTCACTGAGGACCGAGTCGGAGCCTCGTCTCCAAACCCGGAAGGACACTGAAGTGAACTCATCACTACACGAAGAGATAATAAGGCATTGCGAGAAAAATGAAACCCAAGGCTTTTGGAGAAGTTAATACGAACGGAATCGACTTTATCCATCGTTAGAAAGCCAGAACGTCCAGCTCCTGTCCCGACGAATTATTCTAGGGAATGACTTGGTGGCCATCGGATAGTTCCTATAATTTATTACCGCGAGGCTCCGACCGAAAGAATTTGGGAACACGACGTTCCTCGGCCTCGGGTAGGATCCCTCAAACAGTCGGACTGAATTCTAATTACGAGAGCTTCGTTCACGTTCATCCGAGTTCGTTGGAAGCATGACTGAAAACGTTCCTAACGAAGCGATGCTTCTGTCAATTTCAGATGAGCACCGAAGCGGCGGAGAGCATCCAGATTTAGAGGCGAACAGACGGGAGTGTCGCATCTAGAAGTATGTTCCTGAAATTCCGCCGAGTTCCAGTGCAGTTTTTTGTGTGGAACGCAATCTTGGTTTCGGCCGTATCGTATGGCGCGCGCATGTGTCCCAGCAGATGTGAGTGTCGCGATGACGAGCTGGCCGTGGTATGCCTCAATGCCCAGCTGGACATGGTGCCTTGGACGTTGCATCCTCGGCTACGCAGTTTGAATTTACGAGGCAACAACATCAAACAAGTGAGCCGTTCGTTTTCGTTTTCCGACTATTCATCGCTCCGGGTCCTGGACCTCTCTCAGAACCAGCTGGTGGACCTCCACCAGCGATCGTTCGCGTCGCTGCTCGCTCTGGAGATTCTAGATTTGAGCAAGAACATGATCGCCGGACTCAGCAACGGCACCCTCGACGGATTGTCCCATTTGGAACAACTCCTTCTCGCGTACAACTACATCGACGAAATTCCCGCGGGAACCTTCCGCGAGCTGACCGTGCTCCAGCGGCTCGATCTCTCACACAACCGAATCAAAACGTTGCGTGACCCCGACACTTTCCGAGGCTGTGGGAAGAAGCTGCGGGTCCTGAGTCTCCGCAACAACCAGCTCACATCGGTGCCGACGAACGTGTTCGGGCCCCTGGCCGAGCTGGCGGCTCTCGATTTGGGTCGGAACGACATCAAGCTCGTCTCTTCGGAGGCGTTCCTTCCGTTGCGAACTCTGGAAGAACTCCGTCTTGACGGCTGCAAGCTGACGACGATACAGCCGGGCGCCCTGCGCGCCCTCGGCGGTCTCCGGGTCCTCCGACTCGAAGACAACGATCTCAAGGACACACCATCGACGAGTTTCTCGGATATTCCTCGATTGGAGGAAATCCACCTGGGACAGAATCCTCTGAGCAATTTGAAAGAGCGCGCATTCCAGCATTTGCGCCACCTACGAACGCTGAGCGTGGAAAGTGCCACCGAATTGCGCAGCGTCGATTCGAACGCGCTCATCGACAACCAACAGCTCGAGAGCATCGTCCTCTCGCGCAACGTTAGATTGAAGAGCCTCGATTCCGCAACGTTCAGACCCCTGTCGCGACTCCGGAGCGTTAATTTGCGCGGGAATGGCCTATCTCACATTCCCGTTGATTTACTATCGGCCGTTTCGTGGGACGATCTCATCGAGCTCGACCTGCGGGACAATCCGCTCGTCTGCAACTGCTCCTTGCGATGGCTGCTCAACAAACGCAGACAGCAGCAGCAAGCAACACCTGTCAAGGTCGCAGGTGTTACAGCTGTCGCATTCTCAACTGCCAGCTTCAACTCTAGCCTCAGTTCGCCTTTCGCCAACGAGACGACAAGGATTAAGTGCGCAGGACCCTCTCATTTAGCAGGTCTGTAGCTTCGCAACACAACCCTCAGTTCACACATTTCAAATATTTCCCACACCGCCTCCTGAAATTTCTCGAAGCTCCCAATATCCGTTAGCTCCCGGAATTTCCTCTGTCATTTGACTTTCCTTCCTTCCCCGATCGGAGCCGTCTTCGGTCATTCACCGGCTCCTCCATAATGACTCGCTTCCCCCGATTTCCCTCCCTCAAGCTTGTTGTAGCCCGACGGAAACCTTCATGGGCTTCCTTTCCCGTGATCCCAAGGCGCGCGGCCCCTGAATGTTTCCCATTCCTCGATCCCCGACCGGACGCTCGTCTTGCAGAGGCATAACAGGGTCAGCCCGAAAATTGTGGACAATCCCCATTCTCGCTTGCCCGTTCGCTGTTGTGGAGCTCGGCTGATCTCCAGGAATACACGACGTGGCGACCTCCCTTGGAATATGGAATCATTTGCCAAGCTTATCTCATTGATGAGATGTTCAAATACCCCTTCTGATTTACCCGATATCGACTCGCTCGCTTCTGCGAGCACCGACCGAGCGGGATGCTGCTCGCGCCGATAGAACCTGGAGGAGGGGACATTCATTAAACATCGACTTCCGTCAAAAAGGCTCAATCCCGCTGCGGGCTCTCGCGCGGAAGCTCGGGTTGAATTTATCTAAGCGAGTGTCAGGCTCCGACTTGCCTGTGTGACATTTCTCGTTCCGGAGCTCCCAGCCCAATTAGTCGGCTAGCATATTGCTGGCCGCTTGCTGCGACAATGTTTTGAAAAGTTTGCTCAATTTGCGGACGGATTTGCATACTAGCAGTAGTTTTGGTCGTTGGTGTCGCAGCACCAGCGGGGGAACGGCTCAAACTTCCGCTGCGGTTCTAATGTTCGTCTCATCAAGGGCAACCCGAGTATCCGACCGGGGTCATACCCATACCTCTGCCATACACGTTCGAGCGAGCGCTGAACGAACGCGCCCACAACCAACCCCATCCATGCCGATTGCCACCCCGCGATCCCTAGGCCCCCTCTCTCCCTTTCCGTGTTCCGGCTTTCGTTCGGCTTCAAACAAAACCCGTCTTGCTTACAACAACCCGCGACAAGCGACCGCGAATGCAAATATCCGAAGTTTGTCACCATTCCGGATGTTGGGAGCACGCGGAGACGAAAATACTCGACCGTTATCGTCCGGTCTGTAGCGCGATGAGAAAATGTGCTCATACTTAAAAAAAAACTCTTGTCGAGATCACGCGGGAAGTTTCCCTCCTCGTACACATCCGGGTAGCTCCCTTGGAGAAAACTCCACTGACTTGTGAGAATACTCAGTCGGGTCTAATTATTCAAGCTTGCCGGCGGCGCCAAGTCGTAGATGCGCGGAATTGGAATCGTTCTTTCGATTACAGGTCTCTACCTAGACGAGTTGCCCCATGAGGACTCACTTGAATGCAACGGATTGCCACGAACTCTACGATTCGCGCTGCTAATTTCGGCCGTCGCCTTGTTGTCGATATTCTCGCTCTCGGTGAGCGTATATTGCTGCTTGAAGCATCGGCACAGAATTCCGTGTGGCCGGAAAAAGCTCTCGCCGAAATCACCCCAGTCGGACCACAAGCAAGTAGCAACTCCCGAATGGATGGGCGCACAGCAACTTGAAAAGTCCTCCCACGAATACCTGTACGGTCAGACGCGGCTTCCGATCTCGACGCAATCGCGGGAACAGCTGTCGGACATGCAGGACGGAGCTGGGGTCTACATTTGTCAACTGTCAACGGGGCAGCGCCGACCGCCGGTGCGCCTGGTGCAGCAGGGTCCGGATCTGTTGGACCTGTGCCGACCGGATACGAGGGGCGACGGTTTCACGAGCGTTCCGAGACAGCCGGGGCGCGTTACTTTGAATAACAGCCGGACTTCTCTCCAACAGCAGCAGCAGCAGCAGCAGCAAAGTCGATCGCACGCGCGACCTCCGCAGCCTGAGCACAGGGACGTAAACCCACCGTTCTGCTACTACTTCGAGTAGCTCGAGACACACTGTACATGATAAGGATAGGATAAGGCAAAGGATGAGGATAGATGATAAGTAAATCAGCGGGTCGTTCAAACTCTTTGCAAACGTACACGTATGCTGATCCCGGTCTTTGGAACCGACAGCATCGGTCTAGAAAACACAGCAGGGATTACGAGAGGCACAATAGTCCGCACTATTGACCTGATTACACAGAAAGAGCGGCGGCAACTACGATCCTGTATCAGCTTCGAGCACTTGGTCGAGTCCGACATAGAATTACACTACTGCGATATGAGGGCAGGGAAAGGACAATTATTTGATACGGGAGGGAGCAGATATTCGATGCGGAAGGGGGCAGATATTTGATAGGGGAGGGGAGAGTGGGGACCCTATCATGGCGCAATTGGTTTCCTCAGCGTTCCAACGAATCAGAAACCAAAGAAGGTAAATTGCACATCCTGAGTAGGAGATCCCGACGATCCACGACGAAGGAAGAATGTTTGCAGCGGAGTTTGAATCTTAAAGCTTTTGAGTAAGATCGACCTCGGGTTGAATTCCCGACTGCTTGTGTTGCGCTCGAATCTTGAAGGAAGGGCAGCGGAAGGCTACGCCTCTACACTGTCCGGGATCGAGCAAGTGCTCGCGGTGTCTTTTGTGAATTTTCCGGGCATCGTTTCGTGTATGATGATCTCATTTTCAAAAATGTTGTTTTCGTTCCTGTTTTCGGAAGGGATGAATCTGTTACTTCAATATGTCCTCGATTATCCCGGGGCAGTGGGAATGATTTGAAATCAAAAAGTTTCGGGCAGCATTTGTTATCGAAAAGGTCGTAGCTTTTCGGGATGCGTGGGTGGTTTCGATAGGGATGTGTGTAGAATGAGGAATATGTACATGATCACCAACCGCTTCCTCGATTCAACGAAGTGTGATAGAGCGTTTCTCACCGTGGACAACCGGATATTCTCCGGATCGAAATTCGTTGGCGAAAGGGAACGTGCGTCCGGGTTCCTTTGAATCTAAGCGGACAACTTCATTGGAGGTTCGGTCATCCATGATTGAAAAGAATGTTCACCGTAGTTGTGTTCTACTGTGTTATAATACCCTTGAAGCACAGACAAGGATTCGATAGGACGCCTTAGAAGTAAGAACGGGAGCCGTGAAAACTAAGATATGTATGAATCTCTTCGAAGCCCGACTTAACTTTTAGACGAAGTCGACTCTCCTCGCGGGTTTGAGGTTTGGGAGAGATCTTTTTCAAGGAGATTTGTGTACATACCAGGTCCGCACAGCTACGCTGCGAAATCGGACACATGAATAGAGCCTGTCTTGTATTTTTGTAAAAGACTGGGAGGAATAAACGATCGATGTTCTGTGGTTTGAACCTGATGTCATTTTCCTTGCAGCGAAGTCACCCCACCGAAATTCGAGCTTTAAATGTCCCATGAAGATTGCGTTGCATGAGGGAAAACTTGCCTCGGGCCAAGGGAACATTCGGCGGTTCTGGGAAACTTCGGGAGTCTTCTGCTGAAACAAACGTCTCTAGAATGTCGTGTCGGCCTCTATGGAACGGGTAGTGTTTCCGCTGAGTATAATTAGAGTAGTCTTGCAGTCATAAGAAACAGTTAACTACAGCAAAAATGCCTCGACGAGTGAGAGAGGGAGATAGGGAGAGTTGGCGAACATCTTCCGAGAACCCAAAGCGGCAGTAGCAGCCGGAAGCCGAGAAGACAGGCCCGAGTTTGCTCACTAGCGAGAGAATAAATAGCCATTCCCTGCTGACGACATCTCCTGCTTTCCAAGCGGGTACTTGGTCTTCTTTCACAGATAGGATGGCTCGAGCCCAAGGGACTCCACGGGGAAGACTTCAACACGTAATCAGGTGAGTGCCGGAATTGTATCAATGCCGTTTCGCTCGGTCGCAGAAGAGCTACATGCAATTCACATACGTGCAATTCCACACTCAGCGGAATCTGAGGTCGAGAGAGATCGATCCTGATCACCTTCATCTCGTTCGCGTGCTCTTCGTTTCTTCCGAAGCGCGACGTTCCGTGCGCCGATTCCCGACCCATTCTCGAAGAATTCGGCTCCCGAAGTCTAATAATATATTACTCCGAGAGATGATATCTCCGATTCGACGAGACGGATAGACAACAAGATCTCGAAGGCAGCGGAACTCAAAATCATTCCGCGTTCGTAGATTCCAACTCGCTATCCTCTGCGCTCCGAGTGTTCTTTCTCAGGCAGCAAAAGTTCGGAAAACATCACGACCGTCCATGTTGAGTGGGTTTCAGATACGTTACATTCGTTCGTTCGTTCGTTCGTTCCAGGAGTCGGAGTTTTGCGCGCAGTCGTCTGTCGTGGAAATTCTAACTCGAATGGTAAGGAGTCCTTGAGCGGTGGATGCTCCCACGGAACACCACGCTCGAAAGAGCGCGAGCAGCGAACATCACGACATCGCCGCTCTGACGACGATTTCAAAACTTGTCCGAATCATCGTTCTCTCCAAGGAAGTTGGGATTTCGCAAGATTCCATTCGCTCTGGAACTCCCAGTTGGAAAAGCGGCCCGCTCGACCACTCGCCATCAATAACCGGCTGACAGCAGAGATAGTCAAACGATTCCATCAATCCCAAATGCATTACGACTGCTCGCATCTCTCGTGCGCCGCCGCATCGACGCACTTTTCGTTCCCCTCCGAGTCGAGCGTCGCTTTCCGTGCCCCTCGTGCATGACCCTCTATATCGAAGAGCTTTCTCCGGGAGCGAAACGGGGTACGGGTGCTCCACCCCGTTCGGGATTCCCCCGATTTCGCTATCCGTTTCAATGCTCGGAGCATCGCCTACGAAACGACAACATAGGCGGCGCGATACATGCCTCTGCAAGATATCTGTCCCGTGTGATTTCAAGTCCTTGGGATCCGAAGGTCGGAGCTCCGAGTTGCTCCGAGAGAGTGAATATGTTCCAAAGCCATAAATCGACGCCAAAAGTCGCGACGATCTCTCCCGACCTCCGGTCCGGCGGGTCGCGGTATGGAATGATATGAATACGGTCATAAGATCAATACGTGAGTTCGAGCTTGGCAACATCGACGCGAGTTTTGTAATTGCATGTCCACTTACTGACCAAGCTATTCATGGAGTGGATACATTCCATGGACATGATCGAGGGCGGCTGTCTTCTTCGAAAAATCCGGCCACGGTCGGAACCGGGAGCGAACGGAAATTAGCGACGTAAAGCTCGACTCCCCACCCGACAGCGCGCCGGAGAGAGAACATCGACGGTATCTGCTTGCTCAGTCGCCTCGCAAAGCTAACAAACGCACTCCTGCCCCGGGGCTATATTACAAACACAGGAACACACGTACGGACCAACAAAAAACAAAGACGAGCAAACACTTATTGTGCACCGCTCCGAGGAGAGAGGTGGAGTGGCAGCAGATACCGAATGGTGGGCTTATACGGGCGGGGGAACTTTGGAATTTTCCAAATCACTCCAATGGCTGATAGCGTCTTGCCGTCTGCTCGCGGAGCAGCGGACAGGCTTTATTGTCGGACGAGCATTGTTTCATTCGTCTTTGTCACACCCGTGCATCTGTCAAAAGAGGTCACTAAAGCGATAGCTCACGTGGCTTACACGTGAAGCTTTGTCTGCAGCCTCTCAAGCTCGTAAAGAAGCTCCTCGGGGAGACCATTGGGTTCTCGGACGATGTTAGCGAAACATCTACGATGTTGTTCTCGAAAGCTTCGTACTCGACGAACACGAACCCCATATTCTTCCCGGGAACTCCTTCGGAAACTTTTGGAATTTACTATCGTCCGAATTTTACTTCCAAGTTGTTCTCTGAGCCTCACTCGCTACTTTCCTCGTGGGAAGATCTCAGCGATGGACGGACTCAGACCGTGTCACTCGTCGTTGCCTTGATCGTGCGCTGGCCCAAGAGTGCCAAGTTCGATGACCTCTGCGTAAATCGCTAGGACGGGAAACTCTATAACGGCCCCTACATTGCGATCACACCAGAGACCCTGGAACTCGCCAAGCGCGGCCTCTCACTACCACCTCCGAGGATTCCGGAGGCCGTGCGGGACTCCCACTCCCTTCGATCCAGGGAAATCCGCGGATCTCTGACCCTCCGAACGTACGTATCATATGAGGCATCAATAGATTGAAATGGCTCGAGAAGCGCTCTTACGCTGATTACGTCACAATGAATCGATCATGCGACCAAGTGGGTTCCCTACTTTCGTCGGCCAGTAAGAGAATTCCCTCAATTCGAGATTATAATCTCAGCAATAGGCCTTCGTCGCAATCGTATGGGATACCCCAATCCTGAGGATGGGCTCTGTTGTCAAGCGGAGTGCGAGATAATTATCCTCCGCAGAAAAACCAAAGACCCTCAGTCAGATGGAGATACAACCGTGAAATACTAACTACGCGTATAACTAAGAACACCGCACCGAAGGAACAAGGGCTCGTTTCGGTGGGGATTTTATTCATGAGCAGGCCAAAAATGAACAAAAAAACAAGAGCCAGTACGTTGACTGGTGCAGCAGATGTTGGCCTCATAAGGATTAATGTATTGAGACGTGGGTCGGAGAGAGGAAGAGAGACGGGCCGCTGTGCTGCTTGCTTGACTCCTTTCCTTCCCCCCACCATTTTTTTCCGTTCCCCACTAGGTCTAGATGGTCCACCCTACCGCCAGCAGTCAGGAGATGCAGGTGGGGAAGACGGAGCAGGAGAGGCCGAGGAACGGAACCAAAGAACAATGGGAAATCGCTGCTGTATAGCTAATGCAGAGGGAGGAGGCCTGGAAGTGACTTTGAGGGCAGTTTTCCCTTGTTCCTTCTTCCCATCGCGTGATCACCGATCTCTGCTCCCGCCGCTCCACCGTTGCGGCTGCTCCCTCGTATATACTCCGTTTCGATCACCAGAGATGGAGCGAGCAGTGAAGCTCATATTGTCTAGACTCAAGTTCCGATCGATCCAATATGGGAGAGGGGGACGCTGAGTCCTCTG